GCATGGGAGGAAGGGTAGAGGAGGTAGGGGGTGCGCCCGAAGGCGCGGCCACCTGTGAGGGTGGGGGTGGCTGAAGGCGTAAGAGGGCGAGGTCCGCCCGGAGCTGGGCAATCTCGTCCGCGAGACGTCAAACGTAGGTCGATCGAGGGGTGGCAGGAGGAAGAGTGGAGGGGGTGGACGCACAAGCGGCGCGGGGCATCCCAGAGGGGGGAGAGTCAGGTGGCGCTGCGGTCGTGCGAAGAGGAGGGAGAAGCGGGGCACCCGGAAAAGCTGAGACCATGGTAGCGGGTTGTTGTACCGTGGCCGTAGGGACCGGGATCTAGGCGGGTGCGCCCGTAGACTGAGGGGGGGCCTGGCTCGTGGCGGCCGTCGTGCTAGGGGCGTGGACAGTCACCAAGATGGCCGGGTCAGGGGCAACGGAGGAGGAAGCTCCGCCGTGGCCACCCTGTCGGAGGACGGGGGACCCGGACTGGGAGCCAGGAGATGACGGACACGCAGCATCCTGGAGTTGCTGCATGCCGGCGGCAAGGGCCGCCACCTGCGCCTGTAAGGGCGCGAGGGCCGCGAGTTGCGCCTGGATGGGCGCAAGGGTCGCGAGTTGCGCCTGGATGGGCGCAAGGAGGGAGGTGAGGAGGGTGTGTAGATCCCCCTGGGGCTGATGGCCCTGGTCCGCCGGCACGGGTGTGGAGCCCGATGCCGTGGTCATCACCGTGTCGGCGGCGTGTGATGCACCGTCGGCCATGGGGAGATGACGGACCGGACTGGAGGGGGCCAGAAGAGGTCCGCGTGAGCGGAGGGCGTAGGGGGAAGTCCGCAGTAGAAAGAGGCGAACGGCGCTAGCAAGGCTAGCGCGGGCGCCGTCAAAGGGGGAGGGGTGGTTCGGGTCCAGGGTGCCCGAAGAGGACGGGGAAGTAGGGGGGGGTTGAGGAACYCTAAACCCTACAAAAACCCTAAGGAAAACCCTAACCGAGGTTTAAGTGGTTAGGGTAGGGTACCGGTGACCTAATCAAGAAAGTAAAAGAGCAAGCATAGGGGGGCGGAAGGCGGGAGAAAAATAAATAAGCAGCGAGATTTCGAGAGAAAATAAAAATAAGGAAATAAATAAATAATAAAATTAATTAAAGAAATAAGTAAAAGGATGGAAAGGGAAAATAATTTTTATTTTTATTTTTTTATTTTTTTTTAATTTTCGGCAGCATTTCCCTACCCCCCACGGGGTCAAGAATGTGCCAAGGGAAAAGGAGAGACCAAGGTGAGCACACTAGAGATGCCGCAAATAATAAAAAGAAATTTCAGGAAATAAATAAAAAAATAATAAATAAATAAATAAATGTGTGAGGAGGTGGGGAGAAATGGNCAAAACGTGTGCCGAAAGCAAGAAAGGCTAACACCTAATCAGATTTAGGGTTGCCGCCAAGAAATTCGAATTTTCAGAATAAATAAAAATAAATAAAATAAATCAGAAAATAAGAAAATAAGAAAAGAGGGTGGGGAAGAAGATGAGAAAACTAACAACTAATCAGATTTAGGGTTGCCGTAGAAAAAATCGAATTTCCAGAATAAATAGAAAAATAAATTAAATGAATCAGAAAATAAAAAAAGAGGGTGGGAAAGAAGAGATTTCGAATTTTCGGAAAAGAGAAAAGATAAATAAAAAGAGAGGTGGAAAGAAGAAAAACAGAAAAAAAATTCGAAGTAGGGGGGAAGGGGAATGAAAAACTGACGGAGAAAAGAAAGAAATAGGTGGGGAAGATGAAAGGAGGAGAGAAAAGATGCAGTGGAAGGTGGGGGAAAGAGAAGGGTTGAGTAAGAGGAGAGTGGGTTAGTAGAGGGAGAGGGGAGAAGGGAGTGATACCTGGCCCTTGGTGTCTCCAAGGGCACAAAGTACACCAAGACCAGGTGGGTCTTGGTCTTTGCTGCAGCAGCCAGTTGGAGGAGAGGGGGGGGGCTGAGATCTTGATCAGCCCCCAGCAGCACTTCTGCAGATGTCCAGATGTAGGGTCTGCTGTGTGAGCAGGCACTCTCCACTGTAGAGCAGCCCCCTAAGCAGGGGGGTCTTCAGTCCCGCCACAGGCTGCCACGTGGCCGTGGAGATGGCCACGTGCACAGGCGGCTGCAGCCGCCGGGGGGGGGGGGGTAAATAGCCAGCACAGCACCTCTTCAACACAAGTGTGCCGTGCTACAAAACCATGGACACACTGTGGCGAGTGTCTTATGAGGCTGCTTACGCACGCGCATGGCTCGGCAGGTGCCTGGGTTCAAACCCCAGTGGCAACAGTTGCATCCCGGATCTTGATAATATAAAATTCAGGAGCGGGGAGGGGCGGGGCAGCGTGGCGCGCGCGCGCATGCGGCGCTTGGGCGCACGCGTCGTGATGCGGCTTCCTTTTTCACCACGTGGAGCAAGCGCCACGCGTCGTGATGTGGCTTCCTTTTTCGCCACGTGGAGCAAGCGCCACGCGTCGTGATGCGGCTTCCTTTTTCGCCACGTGGAGCAAGCGCCACGCGTCGTGATGCGGC